GCGCTAAGCGGGCTATGGGCCTGTAGTAACAGAGGGGAGAACGCTAGGTTAACCAGGAGGAAATAATGCACGTTTATGTTTCATTACAGCGTGTTATGGTCAATTGAAAACTACACAGCATACTTTTTTTTATTTTTTTTCGTAAAGGTAAATTGGAGTCGTCGTCCCCCAATTCTGTTACATTGGCCTCATTTTCAATCCACGTTGCTCACAGTTTAGATAAGCCTTGGTTTCTGCACTCACCTGCTGTAGCTGTTGTTCCCTCTCCTTCTCGCGTTCCTTGGCAGCTTCCTCCTCCTCCTGCGCCTGCTTATTATCTGCAGAAAGTTCCTCAAAGAACTGAAAAGAAAAAAGCAGACGTTCAATAGAGTAGAAGCAGTATCCAGGACTGCAGTTAACACAATATCACTGACACGTCTCTCTAATTTTAGAGGCAATGTATTCAATTTGTCGGCTTTTCTGATCTGTTCCCTTTTTTTTCCAAGCTAGCTGTCAGTTAATAATACACTGCTCAAAAAAATAAAGGGAACAGTTAAACAACACAATGTAACTCCAAGTCAATCACACTTCTGTGAAATCAAACTGTCCACTTAGGAAGCAACACTGAGTGACAATCAATTTCACATGCTGTTGTGCAAATGGGATAGACAACAGGTGGAAATTATAAGCAATTAGCAAGACACCCCCAATAAAGGAGTGGTTCTGCAGGTGGTGACCACAGACCACTTCTCAGTTCCTATGCTTCCTGGCTGATGTTTTGGTCACTTTTGAATGCTGGCGGTGCTTTCACTCTAGTGGTAGCAGGAGACGGAGTTTACAACCCACACAAGTGTCTCAAGTAGTGCAGCTCATCCAGGATGGCACATCAATGCGAGCTGTGGCAAGAAGGTTTGCTGTGTCTGTCAGCGTAGTGTCCAGAGCATGGAGGCGCTACCAGGAGACAGGCCAGTACATCATGAGATGTGGAGGAGGCCGTAGGAGGGCAACAACCCAGCAGCAGGACCGCTACCTCCGCCTTTGTGCAAGGAGGAACAGGAGGAGCACTGCCAGAGCCCTGCAAAATGACCTCCAGCAAGCCACAAATGTGCATGTGTCTGCTCAAACGGTCAGAAACAGACTCCATGAGGGTGGTATGAGGGCCCAACGTCCACAGGTGGGAGTTGTGCTTACAGTCCAACACCGTGCAGGACATTTGGCATTTGCCAGAGAACACCAGGATTGGTAAATTCGCCACTGGTGCCCTGTGCTCTTCACAGATAAAAGCAGGTTCACACTGAGCACATGTGACAGACGTGACAGAGTATGGAGACGGTGTGGAGAACGTTCTGCTGCCACAACATCCTCCAGCATGTTTGGCAGTGGGTCAGTAATGGTGTGGGGTGGCATTTCTTTGGGGGGCCCACAGCCCTCCATGTGCTCGCCAGAGGAATCCTAACTGCCATTAGATACCGAGATGCGATCCTCAGACCCCTTGTGAGACCATATGCTGGTGCGGTTGGCCTTGGGTTCCTCCTAATGGAAGAGAATGCTAGACCTCATGTGGCTGGAGTGTGTCAGCAGTTCCTGCAAGACGAAGGCATTGATGCTATGGACTGGCCCGCCCGTTCCCCAGACCTGAATCCAATTGAGCACATCTGGGACAATGGGTTGAAAAATGTGATTTCCATTTTTTCATTTGTGTGTGATTTTGTTGTCAGCACATTCAACTATGAAAAGAACAAAGTATTTCAGAAGAATATTTAATTCATTCAGATCTAGGATGTGTTATTTTTGTGTTTCCTTTATTTTTTTTGAGCAGTGTATTTACATTTTTCAGAAATACAACAGATTTATATTCTTTTTCCCATCCAGACAGAAAAGTGAGAGAATTATTTCGCCACTGATAATTTGGAGGAGTGCTAAAATAGAAATTTTGGCAAAATGGGCAGAATTTACTATGAAAAAAACACTTTTAGATGACTTCCGTATATAAACTTTAATAGTTTTACAGAAAGACAGTAATTTGTTGCTCAGAATTTTACCATCACTTTCCAGAACACTTTGATAATTGTATTATATTAAAGAATGTGTAACTAACGAGCAGATCATGTAACACAAGTACTGTACCCAAAAACTGCAATTTCCCATTACTGCGGTCACCTCAAGCGCTGGTCAAAACTAGGATCAGACTATCAGTCATGTAACACTCCAAGTCTTACAATCTTTTCCCAACTGCCTGCAGTGTTTGTGGTAGATTCCTGTGAGTCTATGGAACCTTTGGTGGGGTTATAATTTATAAAATGAACTATTTGTTAATGGAGCGCTTACAAATTAAATAATGATTTTGAAGGTGGAACCCTCTTTGATCTACTCAGATGATACTTAACAGTATGTACAGATCTCCAACAAAAATACATAAACCTCAAGGACAAAACACACAACACACAACAGTGCAGATGGTATAATATATAATATATACACTTTGTGTTAGAACTTTCCAAAGTGCCAGCTCACATAAATCACAGCCCAAAATGTGGCTCTAAATAAATTCTTTCGAGTCTTGCCTGGAGAACTCCTTCTCTCCGATGGTTGGCTTTGTGTTGCTCTCAGAGACCAAAACAAAAGAGGGCTGTACAGTGTAATACATTAGGGACTAAAAAAAATCATAAATGGTCTGTTATTGTTTATATAGTGTATGAAAGGATGCATAGTGTGGAAAAAAGCTAATTTTACTGAAATTTCTATGCACGGTTTTAGACAGAATTTTAAGCACCTTGTTATACCCATTATTTACTCTATTTTGATGTTTTATTTTAGGAAATAGAATCCTCGTTCATTGAACCGACAGGGATATCAGCTACACCCCACTGACAGAAAGCAGAACCAATCATGGTTTGTACACAAGCTGCCTTATGGAATAAAATAGTGAATATTAGTGAACTAGAAGCCAAATATCTACATGGAACAAACTTGAGGTTAATCAATGTCTGCAAAAGAAGTTCATGATCAGTATAAATTAAATCATTATGGGCACTCGGGGATATCAACACCCCCAACTTTATACGCAACACAGACATAACGGAGCTGGGATATCAACATCCCCAACTTTATACGCAACACAGACATAACGGAGCTGGGATATCAACACCCCCCAACTTTCTACGCAATAATTTATTAACAAAACGTGACAAGGGCAGGGAGACCACAAGGACAGAAAGCATTGTGCGAAGCCTAACAACAAGGGATAGAAAGCTTTGTCATTACCGATTTCTTTACTTTCTTGTCCTTTTTGCCTTTCTTCACCACTTTCTCTGCAAGATAAAAGACAGACATGCAGTTACAGCAAACAGGACATTGTTATCACAGAGAATAGTACAAAAACAGAGAGGCTGAGCCAGCTGGACCAGGGAGACCGTTTAAAAAAAAAACACCCTGATTTTTTTGCCTAGTCACCAGGTTGCACCAGAATTCCCTGACTGTAGACCTTCCCCCATATTTAGATTGAACCATGCTTTTAGTTTATCAATTCCTCCCACTGAAACCCAGCAATTTCCCAACCCTACCTCTGCTCCCTATATTATAGTCAATTACACCCTCAACCTGCCAGGACCCCAATTAGAATGCTTTACCCCCCATACTGCCTGTACCCCATTATCATACTCTAGCCCCCATACTGCCTTTACCCCCATTACCATGCTCTACCCCCATACCTTACCTGTACCCCATTATCATGCTCTAGCCCCCATGCTGCCTTTACCCCATTACCATCCTCTACCCCATACGCCTGTACCCCATTATCATACTTTACCCCCCATAGAAATCATACTCTAATATCCCCCCATACTGTCACAGCCCTCCCTATTATCATACTCTATCCCCATACTGTCTGTACTCCCCATTATCATACTCATCCCCCCCCCATCCTGTCTGTACTCCCCATTATCATACTCTATCCCAGCCTTGTCTGTACCCCATTATTATACTCTATCCCTCCATACTGCCTGTACCCCATTATCATACTCTACCCCCCCATACTGTCTGTACTCCCAATTATCATACTCTATCCCTCCCATACTGCCTGTACTCCCATTATCATACTCTATCCCTCCCCATACTGTCTGTACCCCCATTATCATACTCTATCCCTCCCATACTGTCTGTACCCCCTATTATCATACTCTATCCCTCCCATACTGTCTGTACCCCCATTATCATACTCTATCCCTCCCATACTGTCTGTACCCCCATTATCATACTCTATTCCCCTCCATACTGTCTGTACCTCCATTATCATACTCTATCCCTCCCATACTGTCTGTACCCCCTATTATCATACTCTATCCCCCCATCCTGTCTGTACTCCCTATTATCATACTCTATTCCCCTCCATACTGTCTGTAC